GATGGGCATAGCCACCACCCCATGCAGGAGTCAAACTGACAGCCTTGTTAAGAGCACGCGCTCTATCCCCTGAGCCACCTTGGCGGCAGCTCAGCTCAAGGTGCTGAGTTCAGTCTTTAGTTGTGGGCGGGTGTAGCTCACCATCTCGAACAGACAACCTTGTTGTTAGGAGCATGTGCTCTCACCAGTTGAGCCATCCTGCCACCTGTTGGCAGCTCAGCTTGGGGCACAGCTCACTGGCCCATGTGGGAATTGAACTGGTGGCCCTGTTGCTCAGAGCACGCACTCTTGAACAAGCTCTTAACCAACTGAGCCACTTGGCTGGCCCCACAAGGAAACATTTGAGGTGATAGAAATGTTCTTAATTTCTATTGTGGTGATAGTTTAATGGGTGTATACAGGTGTCAAAACTGATCAAAGTATACACTTTATGTGCAGTCTATTTGGTATCCCATACAAATATTGGATTCAAGGAGTTTGAGAACTTGCAAGACTTTTCCAATAAATATGTCCATTAGGGAACTGGAAATACATGTTGGTATTTAGAAGTCATTTGTCTAAGATCTAATCCTGTTCCTCTTTTATTTAAAAACCTTCAGAGGATCTCTACTGCTATAATGGAGAGGAGGTTGCATGCCCACGTCTAAAAGGCCTACTGCCTGTATTTTAATACCTCTTCAGGAAGGCATCCCAGTCCATTGGAGTCACTGCTGAGAATGATAACTCCAAGGGTCTTGAAAGGGAGGGGAAAATACTGGGAATATAGGCCCCTAGCTTTCCATGATCTGCTTGGAATGCCCCGCCAAATCTGGCAAAACCTAGTTCAAGCCTTTTCTCTGCGGCTTTCACTGACCCTCATCTCCTAGGAAACTGATCCTTTTTGGGGAGTGTGCCAGAGAGCACTTCCAGGGCTTACGGTCCAGTGGGGAAGACTACCCAAGGTGACTGCTATAGCAGAGGCACAATTGAAGTGGAAAATTTTACTAAGTTGTGAGATTGACACTTCATTTGCTTATTTATGTAGGGTAGACAGTCCCAGCTAGGAACCAAATTGTTTGTCCCAATTTACAAAATAGTAAAGTCCAGAAGAAAGGTAAGGCACCAGAAGGGGCTAAATCAAGCCAGTAAAATTGGACGGAGAGGAATATCTCTTATTCCTAGAGGTCTGCTGACAAACACATGGCTGCGTCAGTTTCTGAGGTTTAGCATTTAATCCTTGGAGAACACTGGTAAGTCAACACCATATGGTTTCTTCATCAGCTATCTGTATGCATCTCTGTGTAGAATTAATTGCAAGAAAACACCCAGTATCTACCTGCCTTCCAGGAATTTGAAGGACAATATTAATAGACTAGGTAAGAAACCCAGAGTACACTAGAAACATCCAGGATATCTAGAATAGACCAAAGAGCAGAGTACACACACTGCTTAAAATATTGCTATTTTATGCTAAATTGGTGCTGAGCACGTGCATATTGGATCCTAGTTTCCTGCATGTTTACACTTTTAAAATGAATGGTATGTGCCTACAAGGATAAAATCATGTACCAGCAAACATTTTAAAGTTACATTTTAAAGAGAAAAAAAAAGATGCTTGTGAGAGACTATTAACCATTAAATTGTGAAAGTAACAGCAAATCAGTACAGTCAGTTGGCTGGATGGCCTCTGAGAGTCTGTGGTTCTAACAATTTTCAGTACATGATGGAATATACTATGGGAAACAGATCCAGATACAAGAAAAATCTCAACCTTTCCTGGAATCCATGGTCAGCTTGTCAGTAAATACAATCAGTTGTCCTCCTGTGGAATTTAACCCTTAGGATTTGAATTTCCTTTTCTCTTGAATGTTCTTTTGTCTGAGGACTGACCAGGCTGACCTTTTTATTAACATATATGTCTTGCCTACATGCTACTTTCGTTGCCTTTCTTAATTGGAGTGATGGTTTTCCTGAATATGGCTTTTTTTCTTCACTAATCACTGCTATGCCTTTAATGTTTAAATAAAATTAATTTCATCAGTTTATTCTGTTTTTCTCCTCTGGTTTTTACCAACCAAATAACATCTTTAGGAATGAAAGCAACTACTCTTGCTTATTTTATGTCTTTGCTTTTTTTTCTCACACTATACTTCTACTCTCTGAGTCTATTTCAGTCTTTGTTCCCCAAAAGAACATGCAAATGCCTGTCTTTTTGTTGATCTATATAAATACTGATTTCCCAAATCAAGAGAACTCTTCACAGGAAGAAGAAGTAAGCACATAAGGGGCGGCTGGTCAGCTCAGTGGGTTAGAGCGCAGTGCTTATAACACCAAGGCTACCA